GCCGGTCGGGCCGAAGGAGCGAAGCGAAAGCCGGTCGGGCCGAAGGAGCGAAGCGAAAGCCGGTCGGGCCGAAGGAGCGAAGCGAAAGCCGGTCGGGCCGAAGGAGCGAAGCGAAAAAGCCGGTCGGCCCGAAAGCGAAAGCCGGTCGGGCCGAAGGAGCGAAGCCAAAGCCGGTCGGGCCGAAGGAGCGAAGCCAAAGCCGGTCGGGCCGAAGGAGCGAAGCGAAAGCCGGTCGGCCGAAGGGAGCGAAGCAGAAGCCGGTCGAGCCGAAGGAGCGAAGCCAAAGCCGGAGCCGAAGGAGCGAAGCCAAAGCCGGTCGGCCGAAGGAGCGAAGCCCGGTCGGGCCGAAGGAGCGAAGCCAAAGCCGGTCGGGCCGAAGGACGCAGGGAGCGCAGGATTCCGGCAGCCCGGACGCAGCCACAGATCCTGCGGGGGAACAGGCAGTGGCGGAATCGGCTTCTGCGGCCCGCCAGTGGTCGTTTGTGGGGGGGGGAGGAGGGGGGAGGGGGGAGGACGGGGGCAGACGAGGCGGCAGCAGGAGGATGAGGCGTTATTGACGTCTCGTTGTACTCCCGGCGTGGGCGGAGTGAAATGACCCGAGGGGCGCCCACCCGCCCAGGGGCCCGCGCTCACGAACCTGTCACGCACGCACGCTGGCCGATTCGAGGGGGAGGATCTGCGTTCACGCCCGGGGCTGGACGAGCCTCCTCGCACCGCCGCCCAATTGATTTCCATCTGTCCCTCTGCTTTTCTTTGCTGTGCATCTGCACTCTGGTCGCTTCTACATTTTTTCTCTCCTCGTTTTCACCCTCCCTGACATGCGATTCGCCTCGCCCTTGTCCCCGCCCAGTGGCCCCTCCCCCTCTGACCCCGCCCCCAATCTGGCCTCCTGTCCTCCAATGGCCTCCTCCTCTCTGACCTACCCCTCTACTCGTGCCTTTTTCTCTCTGTGACCCTCACCATCCCTGCCACTGAACCCCTTCCTCTGACCCCTCCTCTGAACCTTCTCACCCTCCACTGGCCCCTCCCTCTGACCCATCCTTCCTCCCACTGGCCCCCCTCCTCTGACCCTACCTTTCCCTCACTGGCCCTCCTTTCTGTATCCCTACCTGCCCACTACGTCCTTTTTCCTCTGACCTGCTCTGTTTATGTTTCCTTTTTTACCAACTGACTCCTTTTCCTCTGAATCCGTTCCTATCCAGTCCTCCACTGGCCTCCTGTCCTCTGACACCTTTCTCCACAACGTGGTCCCCTCCCTCTCTTACCCCTCCCTCTCCAATGACCCTTTGCCTCCTGACCTCATCCTGCTCCAATTTGGCGTCCCTTCTCTCTGACCCCACCTCCTACTACTACCCTTTTCCCTCTGACCCTACCCCCTGCACTTGCTCCTCCTATGACCCCAACCCACTGGCCCCTCCCTCTGACTCCCGTGATCCTTGCCTCCACTGGGCGGGTTCCCTCTGACCCCACCTTTCCTTTCACTGACCTCTTGCCTCTACCCCACCGTTTCACCCTGGCTCCATCCCTCTCACCCTTCCTCCCCCACTGACCCTTCCTCTGACCCCACCTTTCCCTAAATGGCCTCCTCTGACCCAACCCCCACTGACCCCTTCCTCTGACCCCACCCCTCAACTGGGCCCCTCCCTGACCCCACCCCCCACTGGCCCCTCTCTCTGACCCGTCGCCACCCCCACTGACCCATCTCCCATCTCTGACCCCTCCCTCTACGACCCACCAACTGAGGTCATGGCAGCCAGGTCCCGCATCCCTCTGACCACCCCACTCGGCCCCTCCGCTCTGACCCACCCGCTCCACTGGCCCCTCCCTCTGACCCCCACCGACGCCATCTGACCCATCCTCTGCCCAACCTCCCATGACCCCTGGAGCCCTCTGACGGCCCACCCCCACTGGCGCCCTCCCTCTGACCCACCCCCACTGGCCCCTCCTCTCACCCCTTCCCTGGTATGTGGATTGCACTGAGCGCTCGCCTCTGACGCGCCACCCCAATGGAGGCCCCTCCCTCTGACCCCGAACCCCAAGCTGGAACGCCCGCTCCTCTGACCGCCAACCACCTCACTGGCCCCTCCTACTGACCCAACCCCACTGGCCCTCCCTCTGACCCTACCCCACTTGGCCCCGTCCCTCTCCTGACGCACCCCACAGCTTGTTTGATCTCTCTCGCTCTCTTGATCTCCTCATTTTCTTTCCCTCCTCACTTTGGCTCCTTCTCCTCTCTGAACTTGCCCACCTGTTGTGGTGTGGTTGTTTTTCCTGTCTTTTCACTTGACTTTTCCTCTTCCTCCTTTGTGTACTCCTTCCTACCTTTTTATTTTCCTAGTGTGTCCGTGCCGTTCGGCTGCCGTGGGTACTGTGTGTGTCGGTGTTCCTGTGGTGTGTGTTGCCTCTGTTCGTGTGGTGTGTGTAGCTCGTGGTGCTCAGCTACTTTTTCCCTCATCTGGCCCCTCCCTCTGTACTCGTCTCATCCTCCATCTTGACCTCACCATTTACCCTAACTTGGCCCCTCCCGTCTGACCCCACCTTCCCAATGGGTTCGCCTTTCTGGACCCAACTCCCCACTGACCCCTCCCTCTCACCCACCATCCCTCTGACCCCCCCTCTGACCCCAACCCACTGGCGCCCCCTCTGTACCCCAACCCCACTGGCCCCCCCTCTGACCCCACCCCCTCGCGTCTCCCCTCCTCCGCCACGCAATGAGGAGGTCGATGTAAGGTCAGCCTGCTGGCTGGCGCCCGTGACTATGGACGTTGGCTTTTCCTGGCCCGGCCCCTCCCCTCTCCTCTCGCCCCCTCTCCCCTCTCCCTCTCCGCCACCCTCCTTTCCCTCTCCCTCCACCCTCGCCCCTCCCAATCGCTGCTGCTCACTGACTCTCCTCTCCCACCCTCCTCTCCCTCCTCCCATCCCTCACCCTCCTCTCTCCACTTCCTCGCCTGCTCCCTCTCCCCCCCACCCTCCTCCTCCCCTCCTCTCCCATCGCCCTGCTCTATCTCCCTCTCCCTACCTTCTCCCACTCCTTTCCCCTCCCTCTCCTCCTCACCCTCTCCCCACCCCTCCTCTCCATCGCCCTGCCCTCACTCTCCTTTCCTCCCACTCCTCTCTCTCCCCACCTCCTGCTTGCTTTTCCCTCTCGCTCCCTCCCCTTCCTCCTCTCCCATCGCCCTGCTCCTACTCTCCCTTTCTCCCACTCCTCTCTCTCCCTTTCTCCCACTCCTCACTCTCCCTTTCTCCACTCCTCTCTCTCCCCGCCCCCTGCTTGCTTTCCTCTCGCTCCCCCTTCCTCCGTGCCCGGGTCGTCCCAAGAAGTCGTGGTCTGGAGGAGCGGTCGTCCCCCTCACGCCGCTCGTGGTCGTCGCCGGGAGCGGAATGCGCGGCGGGGAGCTCGAATGAGGAACCGTAATTAGGGGAATTAGGGGAATTGAAGGCCGGGTTAGCGTCATTTGAGAGGACGGTTGTGTAGCGGGACCAGACGCTGAGGAGGAGCCAGTCTTCATTCTTCATGAGAAGTGTTCTCCAGTTCTCATTCATACCTTTTTTTTTCGAGGGTGCGGCCGTGGAGGTGTATTTAGTCGACCCGAGAGGCTATGGACGTATTTTAGATCGCAGATGAACTAGAGAAATTGAAGAAAAGAGTAAAAAAGAAGAGGGCGATACCTCTCGCTTGGACTTGGGAGCTTTTTGGTCAGTCATGCGAGTGGAGCGCCGGAGAGTATGCTTTTTATTTAATTAATTATAATCGCACCAAGAGGTCATGTCACACACGGCGCGGAATGACCTCTTTCACGGATGATTTGCAGCGAAGAGGCACTAAATATAGATGCCGCCGGTTGCTATAGCGACAGGTAGTGCCACTGAAGGGATGTGGGTTTGTAGTGGCACTAAGGAATCACACTGACGTTGGCACCGAGGAGGTATGGATTTTGGGAAGCAGTCGATGCGCCGCGAATGGTGCCGCCGCGCTGACGGTCCGGCTCGGAGCGCCAGGGGCTCTGCGGGGAGCGGGGTCTAAGGAGGGAGAGAATAGATGGATAAATAGAGAGAGAGAGAGAGGAAGGGGGAGTGAGAGGAAGTGAGAAAGGAGAGAGAGAGGAAGGGGGAGTAAGAGGAAGTGTGTGGGCGAGAGAGAGAGAGAGAGGGAGGGAAATAGAGGATAAGAGAGAGAGAGAGAGAGAGAGAGAGAGAAGAGGGAGTGAGAGAGAGAGAGTGAGAGGAAGTGTGTGTGTGGTGAGAGAGAGGAGAGAGAGAGAGAGAGAGAGAGAGAGAGAGAGAGAGAGAGAGAGAGAGAGGAGAGAGAGAGAGAGAGAGAGAGAAGAGAGAGAGAGAGAGAGAGAGAGAAAAGAAAGAGAGAGAGAGAGAGAGAATTAGGCGCATGTGGTCATGCTCAGATGTTGTTATTATCAACATTATTGTTATGATTGTTATTGTCATTATTGTTATTGTTGTTCTTATCTTATTATTATCATTATCATTATTATTGTTGTTCACATTATTATTATTATTATTAATATTGTTGTTGTGGTTGTTTTATTATTAATATTGTTTTTATTAACAGCATTGACATTATGATTATCATTGTTATTATTCTTGTTGTTCTTGTTGAAATCATTATCATTGATAATCTTGTTATTTGTTATAATCCGTATTACTGTTGTTGTTATCATTATTATTATTATTGTTATTGTATTATTATTATTATTATTATTATTATTATTATTATTACTATTATTATTACTACACTATTATTAATTATTTTATTATTATTATTATTATATTATTATTATTAGTATTATTATTATTATTATTATCAATCATCATTATCACTAACATTATCATTATTATTATTATAATTAACATTATTATCATTATTGTTACTATAATTGACTATCATGATCATCATCATCCATCATTCATCATCATTCATGCAATCATCATCATCACCCCCCCCCCATGAGACCTCTGTTTGACCCCCCCTCTCTCCCCCTCAGTCCGGGCGGGCAGCGTGATCTTCCTGGTGGGCGTCGGGTCCCTGGTGTGCTGGAAGCTGTGGGAGCACTGGCGGAGCGGCGGCGGAGGCCCCTCGTCGCCCCCGCCCTCGCCCACCCACTCGCCCTCCCCCCCGCAGCGGCGCCCGAGGGGGATCCTCGCCTCGCTGCTGGAGGACGACCTCGTGCAGGACTTCGAGGACTTGGACGACGAGGACCCCGCGCTTATTCACGTAAGGAGGAGCAGGGCGTTGGTGGGACGGGGGGTTGAAGGGGGTGAGGGGGGGTTAAGGAGGGAGGAGGGAGGAAGGGAGGGGAGGAAGGGGGGGGCTGAGGAGGGTTAAGAGGGGCGGGAGGGAGGGAGGGGAGGGAAGGGTGGGGGAGGGAGGGATGGAAGAGGGAAAGGGCTGAAGAGGGTTAAGGAGGGGTAGAGGGAGGAAGGGAAGGAGGGAGGAAGGGGGGCGAGGGAAGGAGGGAGGGGAGGGAAGGAGGGAGGAGGGGGGGGAAAGGGACGGAGGGAAGGAGGGAAGGGAAAGAGGGGTGAGGGAAGGAGGGGGGGGAGGCGAGGGAAGGAGGGGGAGAGGGAGGGAGGGAGGAGGAAAGGGAGGGGAAAAGGAGGAGCGAGGAGTAGGAAGGAGGGAGGAAGGGAGGGAGGGAAGAGAGTGGAATTTGATGGAATGGGAAGGGAAAGGGACTGAGGGGGAAAGGGAAAAGGAGAAGGGAGAAGGGAGGAAGGGGACGGGGATAGGGAGAAGAGAGGAGAAAGGAGGAAGGAGGGAAGAAGAAAGAGGAAAGAAGCAAGAGAAAGAAGGAAGAGAAGAAAGAAAGTGAAAAGAAAGAAAAAGAAAAAGAGAAAGGAGAAGAAGAATTAGTAGCAACAGTAACAATGACAATAACAGTAGTAGTAGTAGAAGAAGAAGCAGTAGTAGTAGCGTTCGGAACTGCTCGTCTTGCTCGTCCAGACACCTTGTCCAGAACCAGCAGGACAAGTGGGCCGCGTTCGGAACCTCCAAGACCCTTTCTGCCCAGAATGCAACCGGCTCGAATGTAAACATTGTTTTTTTTTTCATACCGGTGTCTTTATTTACACGCTGAATAGGTTTTGTAACTTATTTTATGCATATTTAACTTACCTGCAACTGACAAACACAAAAATATCCTTTGATAACACCAATTAAGGGTCATAAAATTACCCACCAATATCTTGTGGTTACCTGCAACTGTCAATGTTTACATACAAATCCTATTGTGACGTCATCTCGTCCTGCTCGGCCACCTTCGCAGGAGGGCGAGTTGGACGAGCTCGACTACTTGTCCGGGACGAGATAGTGGAGGTTCCGAACGGTCAAAACATCTCGTCCAACTGGTCTGGACGAGATAGACGAGCAGTTCCGAACGCACCATAACAGTTGCAGTAGTAGTAAGAGTAGAAGTAGGAGTAGTAGGAATGGAGGAGGAGGAAGAAGAAAAGGAGAAAAGTCGTAAAAATGAGCAAAGGGAGAAGAACAAGACGATGAAAACAACGATGACGATGAGGGAGAGACGGAGAGGAAGAGACTCGCCCAACTCGGCGTGCTCGCTTCGTGCAAGAACCTCGGCTTTCCCCATTTACTCGAAACGCGCTGGTGTTTGGGGCTCGACGAAGATCTACGCCGCGCCATTATGCATTGTGTTATTATTGGTAGGCTACAGTCTGTAGGGTTGCGTGGGGGTGCTGTAAGGACGCGTGTCTCTGGGGTCCTTGTATGAAGGTGTCAGCGTGTTTATAAAGGTATTCAGGCATTCTCAGGCAGTTCTACGCGTCCAGCAATGTCTAGCGGCCGGTTTGTTATGATTGTGCGAGGCCTGACCCAGTGAGTGTCATAGATGCGGACATGCATCTACACAGAAGTGAATACATAGCCATCAGTCTAGACTTGCATATCTACCGGGTAGATAGGTAAGTGTATATCAGATAGATAAGATATGCTTTTATTTCTGTGTATATGCGTGTCCGTTTGTATAAGAATATGCATTGGGTCGCCTCGCCCAATGTGAACAAACGCCGTAGTAGGTTTTATATTCTGTGTCTGGAAAAAAAAATATTCTAATTTACAGTTCCTACACCTGCTTCTGTTCTCTTACAGCATCTGATTGAACTGGGCCGCGAATTCGTCGTCAAACTTTTAGTGGTTAGTGGAGAGTGGTGTTGAGTGCTGAATGCGGCAGAGGGTGATCTGTGTGTTCTAATAATGGAAGGGAAAATGGGCTTAGAAGACGGGGCAGATAAGGCGTGCCTTGAGTGTAATCGAATGTGCGACACTAACTCAGAATAGTGTATTAGATAGATGTCGTAGTGCACTTAGAAACCGTGTGCTTTTATAATGTCATTGAGTGTTGCATATGTTGAATCTAACACCGTATTGGATACTGTCCATTGTGTGCAGGAATACACGTTATTGATTCGGATTCCGTTTCTTATCTCTGCCATAAGCTGCACTCCCATGATGGCGCTGGACAGTAATTCAGTGCTGCCAATTTCAGGGCAAGTACTTCGGGCCAGACAGTCCCTGCGGGGAGGGGCCAGGCGAGGACCTGTCCCTCGTCAGCAGTGAAGTGAGCGAAGTGAGCGAGGTCTTCGCGCACCACTACCTCGCCGACGCCAGTGCCTCCATCTCTGCCGGCGATGTGGTAAGTGCGAGTCAATACGTATTTGTGCGAATGGAGAGAGACAGTTGTACCAGTTGCATACTTATGTTCGTTTCGTCAAAGATCTAAGCATGTGGAAAAGTGGGCACAGGCACGTCCTCACTGCCTCAGCAAAGCGTCACAAATGCCCTTGTTCCTCAGGGTTCTTCCTCGGGCGAGAACAGCTTGCCGACAGACGAGGATTCGGACGTCGAGCTTTTCGGCGGCCACAAGCGCGTTGTTCGCAGGAAGCACAGGTCCTCGGAGCTCCATCGCAACCAGGTACGTCCTCTGATCCTTTGCACTGGGACCACACTTTAGCTGAGAGCATTGTAAATTGCGTTAGAATTGGATTGCGCGTCGCAAGACTGGCTCAGCTTTGTGTTGCTCCTCCACAGTTGACTCCAAGCCATGGGAGAGCCCCGGGCGGCGGCGGCGGCGGCCGAGGCTCGACGGCAGCGCCCAACGCGTCTGTGGTGGCAAAGAAGCACAAGACGGAGTCCAAGTAAGCAAACAACTAGGGCACAGACGGGAATATACTCCTTTCTTTCTTTTCATCGGATTATATTCCTTTCTTTCTTATTCTGTGCAGTTTAGAATGACCTTAGAATAAATGAAATTCATCATGAAAAGCGTGTCCCCGAGTAGCTTTTCCATTTGCTCACGCACCCTCCCTCCGCGCAGGCACGCGGCGAAGCGCCAGGGCACGGGCCAGCATCCCCTGCAGGACGACTGGTGTTCCTCGGAGTCGTCCCCCGCCCACGGCGCGCCCACCAGCGCCCACCTGCCGCAGGTGAAGGAGCTCACTCGACACCTCGGCGACGGCTCTCGGAGACGCCCGGAAAGGGGCAGGTGAGGGGGGGGGGGGAGGTGCCGCCATCCTGCATGCACGCATCATAGTGCATACATTATGTACATGAATGTTACATGCATACATACATATATATATATATATATATATATATATATTATATATATATATATATATATATATATATATATATATATTATATATACATATACATATATATACATATATATACATATATACATATATATATATATATATATATATATATATATATATATATATATATATATATATATGTTGTGTGTGTGTGTGTGTGTGTGTGTGTGTGTGTGTGTGTGTGTGTGTGTGTGTGTGTGTGTGTGTGTGTGTGTGTGTGTGTGTTATGTGTGCATATATATATGCATATATATATATATATATATATATATATATATATGTATGTATATATATATATATATATATATATATATATATATATATATATATATATATATATATATATATAAAGTATATATATATGTATATATTTATTTGGTTAAGTATACATCTATGTTCATCCATTCAGACCTCTTAACAGATCCTTCCCACCAATCTGCAAGATGACTAATTTTTCATTGACCTCATTACCTTCTCTTCTTTCTTAAAAGCCATTATTCCAAAGCGGAAATACTGAACTGACATTATTCTTCCCCTCTTCCATACTCTTCTGAGTTATGCATGAGATGATTCCTTTTGCTATTTTTTCTATTAGACCATTTCTCATGCTAGTTGTTCATCCCCAAAGGTTGGTAAGAGACGTCATCAGTGTGGTTCAGCACTGCGATCCTCACAGACCCGTGATCAGGAAGACTGGCTGGTAGACAGTAGGTAAGCTAAGATGGCCTTTCTATATTGCTATCTAAAGACTTCATGCGATATTGTAACACCATCAGTTGTACTGAATTATGTCAAATTTGGAAAGCAGAGTGCATTTTTGACACATTTCAGGCATTTGTCAGTTTAGTGGTATCATGTGACATACAAGATTATATCAATAGTTAATTATTCATCCATTATAACATTATTAGATGAGACAGCAAATAGATGAATACTTTCTGATTTTTATACTTTGATAATGTCTGTGCTAACAGACTGCAGCCTGAAGGAGAGGAAGAGAGCCACCTCAGCACCAACATCTCAAGTGCCTCACTGAGTGACCTCATGGAAAAGATGCGACACAGAGGCTGCCATGGGTCAATCTCCCGTGATAATTCAATTGCTTCCAACATGTCAGACTTTGTTACCTCGCCCCAAGGGTCCAAAAGATTTACCTTTAAAAGAGAAGATTCAGTCTGCTCAAATTTGTCAGACTTTGCACCATCAGAATGCTCTGAAATGTCACTGGATGTTTCTGTGCGTGACGATCTGGCTTGCAAGACTTTCACCTACCTGGATGATATTGAGCATGAGCTGGACGACCTCAAGTCCTCCATGTTAGAAATGGATGAAGAGGTGACGAAATTTGCATCAAAGCCAAACCCATACACCTTTAAGACAACTTACTCTGACTATTCCATCACCTCTGGAGATTCACGGCCAAATTCTGCCTTAGATCTGGTAAATGCACATCGTTCAAGAGCCAGTTTCAGAGGTGTTTTTGGTCAAAAGGGCACAGGGTCATCTGACTCGGAGGCACTGGAGGGAGGCCCTGCAGACTCCACACACACTCAGGGTCATGTGGTCTCAGGCTCAGAGGCAGAAGGATCATTTGAGTGGGACTCTCCACAACATGGCTGGACGAGTGCAAGAGGACCACCACTCTCGCGTCTCCCGGAATTGCCTTCAGAAGATGCAGAATCTTCACGTGCATCAACTCAGGTAAGTGAGGACATTTCTAAAGCATGAAATCATGAGGAAAATTAGTTTATGGACAAATGCAGTATTAGTGTGCAAGAAAAAAAATATTGATTCAGTTATAAGAATAGATTAAGCTTTCTACTTTTTTGAGTCAATTACAAATTTTCAACTTCTTTGATTAGCAGAATCTTTATGTGTTATCAGAAAATGAAGCTAATCGCTATATTCAATAATTAAAAAGTTATTAATCACAGTTAGTTTTCTGGTAATTTATGTTATTTTGCTAAAAAAAATATGCCTGAATTTTAATGTAATAATATCACTGACATAGATAAGTTGATTAAGAAAATAATGAACTGTTGAATGTGTCACTTTCAGGAGGACATGATGCCATCACTTGAGTGGGATAATGACTGCTTACAGCAATACGATGAAGAACAGATGCAAGATTCCCACAACAGCCAGCTTGATGAAGTCTTCCATCGGAACAACTGTGAGAGGTAAGGTCTACAAGTTTGTTTGAGGAAATGAGCTGTCAATTTCTATTGAGGATATCTCGACATGAATTGTATGGGTTAATGCACTGATATTGAAGTTTAGTCTGGTAAAGCCTCCTAAAACTTGCTGAGAGTTGATGTTCATAATACTATGGAAATGTTTATTGCTTTAGATTTACCATTATTCATATTTTTTGTAAGTTCATGAAGTATGGCATGATTGCCTGAATACTGATATTTTCCATGATAGTTGATTATTACAAATTACACTGTATTTCACTATTAGATAGCAAATGAAGGTAAATGGTATTAGCATTCTCTGCTATAAATCCTGCAAAAATCAATTAAAGCATTTTTTTCCATTGCTGTCACTATTAGCTTTCTGCTTTTGAAATGTCGAAATTAGCATAAGCTTTGTGTTCTATTAGTAACACTCAGTAAAATCTTTCATTGCATGCAGCTTTGCAGAACTGGAAGGATATGAAGAGTATAAGTTATCTTGTAGTCGGTAAGTCTTGTTGGAGGCAAACATTGTGAAATTTGGACGTCCATTTAATACCATTCTCTAAATCTCTCATGGGAAACAACCCTGTCAGATTTCTACCTCTGTTAAATCTTTTTATATTTTGTATCCTTTGCTGTGGTGCTCATGTTTCCTCTGTGCATTTCATTGGTGGAGTAACACATCTACTAACATTCTTTTCTCCTAACTGCTAAATAAAAGTATGATAAAAAATGAAAAACAAATTCCTGGAAAATTTGGACATCTCAACATACACAAATTTGTAAAAAGAAGTTTTGTGGGATAGAAGGTTGCTTCTTCTTTGTCGGTATCATTTTTTTGTGCATCCTCGAAGCTTTATTGCTATTAACTTTTGAGGTAATTTTTTTGCTGGTTTTGGGAATTTCATAAAATTTTCATCTTCCTAAGGCTCCAAAATAGAAAGAATCTTTCTCAGTTTTCCTTGCATTTCTTGTGTGACATTCTGTGATTACACAAATGTTTATAATACGTGCTGAAATTGTTCATCTTCATTTTGGAAAGAGTTTGTTTGTTTGTTGAAAACTATAGTTTAGGCTTTCTCAATTCTTCTGTCACCAACCATCTCGTTCCTCTTCAGGCACCAACTGTTACCTGACCACTCCTCTCTTGAGCTGGACCTTGAAGAGGAACTCCAGGCAGCCACAAACCCTCTCACAGAGGCAGCTGACCTCCGCTCTGCACCCATGACCATCTCGGTTGATTCTGCCATACACTCAGCCACAGGCTCGCGCTCTGCTTCATCTAGCCCCTTACCCACTGGTCTTGGCCAGTCGCTGCTCAGGTACGCCCCTTGGCAGCCCTTCCCTCAGGTGCATGTACCAGTCTCACCTCACGAGTCACATGTGACATGGGAGCCGACACTCAAATCCACTCCCAAGATGAGTGAATCTCAACCTAGCTGTCAAGAGTTAGTTAGTCAGTCTTGTGAGTCACAACCTGCGCACATGACATGGCCACGCACATGCTCCTCTGCACATCCAAAGTCCCAGAGAGAATCGCAGGAAAAGGAGCAGAAGGCTGCCCAGACTAGATCATCCAGTTTTGATTCAGCGCTTGAGTTGAGCTTGAGTGATAGATTAGTTGAGAGTTGCACGGAACTCTTAAGCCCTTAATAGTGACAATTATATAAAACAGTTATTAGTGTTAAAGGAGAAAAAAAGTAAACAAACAATACTAACAGTGCCTTGAGAAGGGAGTTTTCAGTTCATGACGCAGACCGTGAATAAGACAGTTAAAGAGGCAGTTGAGAAGCACAATTGGCATTAGATAGCCCAGATGCTGCTTCGCTTACAGTCAGAGACGACGTAACTCCCCGCTTACATCCACGCTACACCAGACGTGCAGGAGGTACCCGTCCTTTTGTTTTTGCATGTTGGTACCTAGAGTCGTGAGCCCTCTCACTACTCCCTTCATTGCATTGCTTCCTTTTTTTTACTTTGGTTATTTCTGTTCTGTATCATTTCTGAGGACATTTGATGCTGTATGTACTAACCATGACTTCTTGTGAATGCTAATACTAGGTACTGTGTAATAAGCAGCTATGCCTGTAAGTTTCTCAGGGAGTTTGAGAATAATTCTTTCTTCTAACGTTAACAGTATGTCATAGATTGGATTTTAAACTGTGTAGAAAAAAATGAAAAACTCATTATCTTTAGCAATCAAAAGATAATGATTTTATTGTAAAGTTGATCTTTTCATTAGAAAAGAAGAAAAGGCATTTAATGATCTACATCAGTGATTATTGGCTAATAATCACTGGTTTCTATATGAAGAAAAGGTGAACAATAATATATATATACATATGTATGTATATATATGTAATTTTCTAGATCTGGGAATGCCAATTGGTAATTACTATTCCTTGGAAGGCAGCTACCTGTGGTTCATGATTCAGGCGCATTTCCCTAAGTGATGGCTGATGATAGGTGTTTCGTCTCTCAAGAATCAATTTCCGAATCATAACTGACCCTATTATCTTTTCAACAATCTTACTTTATAGAGAGATAGCGTAAATTACTCTTTTATGTATGGTTTTTGTTGTTTGTGTTTTTTTTACCAATTTTTCTCATTACTGGTATCTCTTTTTATGCAGATTTTAAGGATTTGCTTCCAATTTAGGTGAATGACGTACTTGTTATGACAGTTTTGACAGCCTTTCTTTTTTCCTAAGTTTGACAGCCACCTGTAGCTTGTTTCCTTGTTGAGGGCTTGTTTGGTCTGAGGAGCTTGGTGTACTCTAGTAGCCTCATTTAGCCACTCTATATCTGCTCTAAGTTGCCAGATCTCTGTGTTCCTAGTTTACAAAAATGCAAACAAAGGCAAGATGGAAGTGACAAACAACATCTCTGGATATGGAGGTGCAATACTTAAGACATTTGATGCTATTTTGTCCTCAATGAATATAGGAAAAAGTGGTTATAGGTGGTTGCATTTGGCAACCCAGGTGGACTGGCTAGCTGGCCCAGGGACAAAAATAGCTAAGTGGCATGAGGAGAGAGTAGGCCTCAGGATGCTTCTCTCACTGGTCGTAGAAAGTGCTCTCTCGTCCCTCTCTCAACATGTCATAGAATGGGCTGTTGACGCGGTGGTTGATCGCTTCCTGTGAGTTGCCTTGGCCAAAGTGCTCTCTCTTTCTTGGGCTGGGGCAGAGTCGGGGAGAAAGGCTGACCCAGATGCTGAAAGCAGTGCTGATATTGTGCTTGAAAGTGTCAGTTTATATTTAGTGCTGAACTATGTAACAAAGGTTGTCATCCATATTGAAAGTGAAGCAAATTGGGGATATCTCTGGCATTTAAATGTACCCACCTTCTTGTTTTAAAGAAACGTTTTAGTTTTTTATTGTTTTGCTCTAAGAAGAAAACTTACAACATAAAGGAAAATGAGATGGTAGGCTCTCAAATTTTTTAACAGTACGTCATTAATGGTTATTCCCTGGATATAAGAGATGGAGACTTGCCTGGTTGTAATGATGGTCATCTAATAACGTGCTTTCTTAGTTGTGTAGAAACAAAATTACCCCATTAAATCACTACTTAAAAAAGTTTGAAAGTTAAACATCTTGATGTTTAGATGTGGAAATGTATTGTGATTGTTAACTGAAGCATAATGATACAAAACCTATTCCATAGCTTTCTGTAAATTTCTTTGTTTTGATAAATTTTGATACCCAAAACTTTTGAAACTTAATCTATTTCATTAAAAAAAACATCACTGACAAGGTGATTGATAGTAATTTAAAGTCTTATGATTTTGTATATGTTTCATTATATTTTGTTTTAAGTAATAGATGACAGAAAGATAAATTTTACCAATAAAAGCATGCATATAACTCGTTACAAAAACTACTAAATCAAAATTCAGTTACTTGCAAGAGCCACAATTTTTATTTGATTTCTTGTATTAGTTCCATACTGACACAGTGTATGTGGGAGCATGTGTAAGAGTGTGTGCATGCATGTGTGGGAAGCACTAGAATATTATCTTGTTCACAAAAGGTAATGAAAATGCACATGCCACAGGATGAGTGGTTATCTGGAATTAGAGTTTTGTGTTATCACTACTTTCTGTATAGAAACATGTTCACCCAAATGTACTTTTGACCGACTGAATATTAACTTCTATAGTATGCCCCTCAGATGCAATTACAATTTCAAAGCTCATTTTCCATACAATAATATCTGGTAATCTTTTTTAACCTCCCTGCCCAGAACTTCCTTTCTTACTCTTCCTGTATGTCTTGATTTTAATGTTTTCTCACATTCATCTCCTGTGCCTTCCCAATGGTTACCTCTCAGGCAGGTATGGGCTCATGGTCATCACTCACAGCTCTGAGTATAGTCTATAGAAACCTGCATTTTGCTGTTCGT